GGCTCGCTCCGCTAATTTGACTTTCTCAGCTGTCAAATGCTACATAGCATTCGGGAACTCCCCAATACCATTCGGGTCTGTGAGGCATTCTGCAGACTAAAAAAAATGTAAAAATTTTTTTTCTAATGTCATTTTTCTGCAATGAAATTTCATCCAACAACGAAATTTCGACCGGACTTACGCTAACGAATTTTTCCAAATCCCAAAACAAATTACATTTCAGACCTGAATCCTGAAAAACGAAATAAAGCAAAATCCGAATCAAAAGGAAACTAAACGAATTGTTTTCCAGTGTACATGTCTAATGTGCACCATCTGTCCTAGGAAAGCCTTGGAATCTCCTTGGAGACCCTAAAGCTTGCGGCCGGGCGAAAAGTGAATTTGGGCTGGTTTGGGCAGCTTGCTGCTCCTTGTGTCCAATAGGATAATACAACCACAAATTATCCTAATTTAAATAGTATTGATATTAAATGCTTATATTATATAGCCCTTACTTCTGTTCATAATCCTTAAAGGAACACTAAATAGAGGACAGAGTAACAGACTATCTGCACTTAGAGCCTCCTTACATTGGTGGTCAGTGGAAAAGGATTCTACTTACATTGGAGAATGGTCCCCTTACATTAGTGGTTAATGGAATATGACCCCTTTCTTTAGTGATCGGATCCTCTTACATTGCTGGTCAGTGAAGAAGGACTCCTTACTTTAGTTAGAGGATCCTGAATGGGAGAGGTGTCTCCTTAAATTGTCGGAAAATGAGAAAAGGGCCCCAGTACATTAGTGGTCAGTGAGAGAGGTGCCCCCTTACTTTGGTAGTCATTAGGAGAATGACCCTTTACTTTGGTGGTCATTAATCTTTTAGTTTGGTGGGAGGGTTCTGGTCTTCATTGGAAGAGTTTTCCACTTTACATTAGTGGTTAGCGGGCGAGGAAACCCCTTACTTAAAGTTTTCCTTTTTGGTTCTGAATATAATTTCAACAAAATACATTTCTTATAGAACACATTTCTTTTTTAAAGGTCAAACATTGCTGTTGATATCCCTCAGACATTTGACTCTATATCCATCAAAACCTGTAGAGGTAAGCCTCCCTTTTCTTGATTCTGTTTTCTGTTAAAAATTCTTACATAATACTTGTTTCTTCTGCTCAGATATTGATTCATCCAAATTCAACATGTCAATAAAGCTTGCTTTAAAAAAAAAATGATATAAAGTGTCTTTAAGGGGAACTTTAGTCTTTGCAATTATTTTTTGATGTGTATGTGAAAGATCCTTATGTATTGATACAGTGATAATATAAGGATGAAATGTAATAGTAAAGTCAACTGCCACATTCACATCTTCCAGCATCCGGTTCCTTTGCAACTCTTAGCATTTGATGAGATGAGCCGCAAAGGAAATTGGTACTGGAAGACTTCCCTCTGCTAGACACTGCAAGTCTGAATGGGGATCAGATAGCCATATAGTGACCAGCTGTGGGTCCCACTCTGGTCAATGTATGACTAGTGAAGTATCTCCACTGACATCCATTAACCCAAATTAATTAATACAAATGCCCCTTATACTTTCTCCTCTGGGGCTAACCCCCATCCATGATCAACTATTGATCACAAGAGCATCTACTGACATTCAGGAATTTGACAGCTGAACGAGGGGTTTCCTAGTGGCAGGATGGACATAGCTTAATCACAATTTGGACAAAAATCAAGAGCGCGTGTACAACTTGGGTCTACAACCAAAGTGGAACTATCCGGCACCTTCACCACCACAGCTGAGAATAGATTGGATCCGGAATCACACTGACTTTAACCACCTTCCGTCCATGGCCGTTTGTGAACGGCCGGACGGACGTCTGCTAGGAGCGGGAGGGCGTCTTAAGACGTTCTGCCCCTCCCCCCTCTCGTGTGCGGCACTCAGCGCGCACACGAGAGAGTTGCACATGATCATTGAATTAATCCTTTAAATTATGTACAACAGTTATTATAAGAATTATGATAGGATTGTACAACACGTATTGCTGACAAGACTTGTTATTGATTTTTACATATTAATATACTCCTAATTTACATAATTTTCAAGTAGGTATATCTAGCCAAGAGTAAGACATAAACTCAGCCTTATAACATACCTAGAGCCCTGTTGGAACCGATAAAATTTACATCTATGATACAGCTTTGATGCAAAGGTGTTCCTTGATATCCTGAACTGAATCAGCACGTGGCTGTTTGATACGCAAATGAGGACCATCAAAGGGTTCTTGGGGCTGGACACTGATGAATGAAGACCTGCCGGACTGTCATCTCCTGGGGCAAGCCTGACCCCCTGCTGTTATTTACTGCCCACACCTGTGTCAGCAAGGAAGCATACATGCTGGGATGGGGGCAGGGGCATATGATGGAAACCTCTTCCTGTGTGATCATCTGCACTAACCTAGCTCACAAGCAGGAACAATGGTAACCTTGGTGACCTCTTGGACAAGTCTTTCTGGACTCTACAATCAAAAATGTGATTCCCTGAGGCCTTCTGGAGAGGAGTGTTCTGAGCATAGAGAAAAACCCATGGCATGTGTGACTGAGAGCGAGAGAATGGTGTGGCTAGCTCAAGGATCCTGACCCCCTCCAATCCCCTCTCCAATTCCCTTAATTGTAATTAGAATGTATGTATATCCCTATTTGTAAATAAACCCAACACTTATTTAAGATTCAGTTGTTCATCAGTAATTTAAGGCACCCCAAATCAGAGCACATTCTACAAGCCCCACCCCTGTTTGTACCCCAGTCACCCCCCACCCCCAGGGTGCACCCCTGTGCCCGTGAAAAAGAAAATTCATAAACTCAACCTTATGAAACATCTAAAGTCCCACCTCTGTTTGTACCCTAGTCACCCACCGCCCCCAGGGTGCACCCTTGTGCTTGTAAAAACAAATCCATAAACTCAAACTTATGAAACACCTAAAGTCCCACCTCTGTTTGTACCCCAACCAGCCCCCCACCCTCGGGGTGCACCCCTGTGCTTGTGGTAGAAAATCCATTATATCAACCCTATGAAACACCTAAACCCCCACCCCAGTTTGTAACCCAACACCCCCCAGGGGTGCCCCCCTGTGACTATGAAAAAGAAAATCCCTATACACACATTTGTCCCTGGTGTCTGTGGCCAGGACAAAGACATCCACTTCTTCTTCCAACAGTGGGCGGATCCTAGATGATTATGGGAGTGGCAGAATGCATTCTCTTGTGAGTTCAGTGTGAGGGAGGATCCTTGACACCCTGCGCTCACAGGAAGTGAGTTTATTCTGGTGAGCAGTGTCTTACATCCACGGTCGGCCTAAGAGTTGGGCTGTAATTTGTTGACACTGCTGAAACATGCATGTCAAGTAGACATGTGCGATACGTTGTCGGAAAGATTCGTTATTCGAATGGATTTTTGTTATTTTGAGATTCGGATACATCCAAATCTCCAAATGACAGAAATGACGAATGCAAACGAATCCAAATTTCCGATAACAAAATTTCAGACGAAATTAATTAGTGGTAGTCTGTGCGAATTTTTGCTCCAGGTGAATTTACGTTGCAGCAATGTGACATTAGACAAAAGGGGGAAAAAAATGTAAAAGCGTGAGGTCCTCCTCCTTTAGATGGGGTAGGAATGTTAGGAGGGACACCCCCCCCCCACCCCAAGTTAAAAATAAAAAAAAATTGGTACTAATGTCACTTTGCTGCCACGAAGATTGGTCCAGAACGAAAACTCATACAGTCTACCGCTAACGAATTTCGTCCGAATCTGAATCCCGAAACAAATTGACTTTCGGACCCAAATCCCAAAAAACGAAATTACAAATGAAAACAAAAAGAAACTAAGCTAATTCTTGTCCGGTGCACATGTCTAATGTCAAGCCAAAACCTTCTAGGAAGAGGAAATGGGTTAGAACCCTTGTCTGTTTTTTACTGCAATGGGATAGAGATTTCTTCTTACTTCCTGTCCTGCTGACAACAGTTTAGCAGACAGGAAGTGAGGGAAAATCTAAGATGTATAAAGTTTCTTGCTTGACATACAAAGTTTCTCAATCTATGATCCAATTTTCCCTTCTCTTTTCTATCTAGTTGTAGAAGAAACCCCAAAGCCAAAATGCCAGACCGGAATGGGATCTCCTCTGCCGAGTGGATATTTCTACAACAATATTTGGCAACCCGTCTACTGCAGCATGACCACCTACAATACCGGGGAGGACTTCCTTAAATGCCTGGAGGGGAAAAAACTCTTCCTTATAGGAGATTCAACATTGCGCCAGTTCATCATGCACTTTACAGAAGGCATCAAAAGTAGGGGTGTGACTTCAAGTAACTTTATATGGTGTATTGATAAAGAACTTGCAGAACCATTTGTCCTGCCAAACTCTGTGAACGTTCGTTCTTGTGAATGGAGGCAAAAACAAATGTATATTAGTATATTTTCTTTTCAGGTCGAAAGTAATATTAGGAAAATACCATAGTATGGCCACCAGATGGAAGTGAGGAGCATGGAAATTAGATATTTATTACCAATGCTCCTCAGCTCCATCTAGTGGTCATAATGTGGTATTGTTCTGGTAATTCTTTATAATTACACCCACTATGTCTTTGTTGCTGAAAAAATAATATGTAAGTTAGAGAGACACTATCGTCTTACCCATGCAGGGCAAGTTAATAATGTCTTTGGAAAGGTCATTCCCCGACTCCCTTATGCAAACCTCACCCGCACTCACTCACAGCTCTTTCCTGAATCCGAACTTCGTTAATTTCAGATGAATTAAATGATCATTACAAACTAAAATTCGTTGCAGAAAAGTGACATTACATATTTACTTTGTTTCTTTTAAATTTCTGATACCACAAACAAAAAAAATTGCAATTTTAAATTGCAATAGCCAATAACAGGATGGCTATTGCTCCGCCCACAGCTCTCCCGCTGGTTGTGTTTTGTTTCCGAATTAAAATTACATTTATCAGAATTTCGTTATCAAACATTTGGATTCCTTCAGATTCATTATTTCTGTCATTCGGAAATTCGGATGCATCCAAATGTCCGAATTTACTGAAATTCATACGAATTTCAAATCAGAACGAACGTCTATAAACTAGATGGATGTGGAACTTACGGAGATTCAATATAGAAATACAGATTCATTTGTAGTTTTGACCATAGATACCATTTACGCTGTTTGCTTGGAGTCTCGTCAGCCACTAACACTTGTGTTTGCTTCCTACTGGTCAGGGTGGGTCGGTTGGCATTTGGCCCTGGAAGCTATGAACATGGAAAAGGACATTTACGTCTCCTACAAGAGACACGGCTTCCCCCTGGAACATCCAAGCTTCTACTACTTCAAGGAAGACATGTACACCAGCCGGCAGATCGACCAGCGTGCTGGCGGAAAGGACACCATATTTGTTATAACCTTGGGACAGCACTTTAGACACTTCCCTATCAAGATTTTCATCAAGCGGGCGTTGAACATTCGCCGAGCGGTAGAACGCCTCCTCCTCCGCAGCCCGGACACCAAAGTCATCATCAAGTCAGAAAACACCCGAGAACTGCAGGCTCCGGTGGAAATGAAGGGGGACCTCTATGGCTACCCCCAGTACCTGGTGCTCCGGGAGGTCTTCCAAGGAATCAACGTGGGTTTTGTGGACGCCTGGGACATGACGGTGGCAGTCGGCTCGACGATCGTTCACCCTTCCGGCCACACGTTTGCCAGTATTATGAGCCTGGTGTTCAGCTTTGCTTGTTAATAAAAGCTGTTGAGACCTCAAAATATAGGCTGAGTGTCTCCGGTCCTTACAGTGGGCATTTCAGTAAATTTAAATAGTGCACATGGATACATTCCTGACGTGTCACAATACCCAGCAACAGTATTATTTTTCAAAAAGGCTCCAATGTTTATGATTAAAGTGCATTCTATCTATCTATCTATCTATCTATCTATCTATCTATCTATCTATCTATCTATCTATCTATCTATCTATCTATCTCGTATGATAACTGTTCTAAAGGAAAAGGTTCCTTTTTCATAGAAGCCAATCTGGTCTCCTTTTTCATATTCAATTTGGAGTTTAACATTGGCATTTTGATCATCTGTATATTTGTAATTTGTTTATAGTGTTAGGTTTAATCATTCCTATAGATAACAAGAACAGTCTGTTCAAATTATTCATACACAAAACACAGAATAATAAAAACTAGGGCTGCGAAAATTAACGAATAATTCCTCGATTAATCGTTAATTTTTTTTGATCGATTAAACTTTTTTTTTGATCGGCACTCACCTCTCCGTCGGCTTCCGGGTCTTCTGGGAGTTCCTCCCCCCCTTCCCCAAGTGGCTCTGTCGGCTAACGAAGGGAAGGGGGGAGGAGTCCGTTGATGTCGATGTCCGTGACGTCACCGAACTCCTCGCCCCTTCCCTTCGTTAGCCAACGGAGCATGGACGGGCGGAGGCGGGCTGGGGCGGAGCAGGTGCCAACACGGGAAATGACTCACCGAGTCATTACATGTAATAAAAAGTGTAGGCCGATTGTCTCACCTTGCTATTTTGCAAATCCTTTGGGTATCAGCTTAGTACCATCATATGATGCTAGCATTCTAGTAGGTTCAGCTGTCACAGTATTAGACAGTGAATTATCATGTGCAACTGGTAGTGCATTAATCCCTGCTCCAGTATCAAGCCTGAACCTAACTTCAATCTTTTCAGTCTTAAAAGGAACATTTCCTTAGAGAAACTCATTTTGATAATGCTAGGTGCTTGGCTGTCATTCTTATCCTCTTGCATTAGAACTTTTAGTCATTATCCCAGCATGCAGCTAAGGACTTTACTCTGACTGATAGAGTTCATAATGATTCAGGGACAGTGGGTCAGCATAACAGTCTGGTATCTAGCATTTTCAAAAGTAATTTAGCAATGGCAACCCCATATTTCTCTTATAGGAGATATAAACTATAAATAACAAAAATCTCATATTACCTTTACCATGTTAATGTAATTTTAGAAGTCATATTCAAGCTTTTCAACTCACTAAAATAATACATGATGATGACATAAAGGTCCATGTTCAGGTACTACCTAATAAAGTGGGGACAACTGTCCCTGTCTGTGAATTGCTGCGCTGGGAGGACCCCTTCCCTTCGTTAGCCGACGGAGCCACTTGGGGCGGTGAGTACTTGTTCTGCACGAGCGCCAGCAAAGGCATTGGCCTATACACATACAGCACAGCAATAAAGTAATAAAATGAACTAGCATCACACTAATCCAGCACGTTATTATTCTGAGTTGCCCCACTCAAGCGGCGGCCATATTGAGTGGGGCACGCGAGATTAATAACGTGCTGGAATAGTGTTATCCTAGTTCATTTTATTACTTCATTGCTGTGCTGTATGTGTATAGGCCAATGTAGTTGGATCTGTATGTGCGTTATAATTAATCGAAATTAATCAATTAAAAAATGTTTTGATTAATCGAACACGAAAATTTTAATCATTACCAGCCCTAATAAAAACACATAGTAACTGCGGTCATTATACTGACAGCGATCCATCAATCTCTGTTTTGCTGCCGACATACATTTTTTAAATTCAATCTTTTTTATTGAACAGGGTTTTTCAAGAAAATAACATAACACAATCACTGTGGAGATCTTACATTCGAAGGTTTCATGTTGCATATAACATAGATAGAAAGATACAATTCGAGCACACGTGCTCACATGTTAAGTAAGCATCTCCAATGACATCTATACACTCTTTATATCGTGATGTGGAGTGAAAACAAGGGGAGGAACAAACAAGAAGGGAAGACAAAGGAAGGAAAAGGGGAGCCAAGCAATCGAGACCCGCAACACATAATTATTACCAGATTATGGTTTTGAGATGCCATCACCCATGCCAGGACGACCAGGCATTGTACAATCGTTTTGTGGAACCATCTTGGTATGACATAACCCTCTCGTATTGGCAATGTAGGTTAACTATAGCTACAGTTTCGGACACATTTGGTGCAACTAAACTTTTCCAATGGCGCACCACGGTCAACCTCGCCGCTAGCAGGATGTGAGATACTAGGATCCTAAATTGAGGTGGGAAGCTTTCGATGCCCAACGAAAGGATCGCTAACTATGGCGAGGGCGGCACAATACATCCCGTGGTCTGTGATATCTTCTGGAATACCTGGCGCCAAAAACTTCTCAGACATCTACAATCCCACAGGATGTGGTGCAAGCTCCCTATTCGTCCACATTGTCTTCAGCAGTCTGATGTGGTGGATGGATACATTTTGCTAAGCTTGAGAGACGTAAAGTACCACTGTAGGGCAATTTTATGCCCCAGGGTCCATAAGTCCGCACATTTAGTAGCCCTGTGAGTGTATGCGAAAGCTGCAGTCCATTGCTGAGGTGAAAAAGAGGACTGGAGGTCCCTTTCCCATTGTTTTATCGGGCTGGATTTAGTGAACACTAATTTATTATTTAGAGCTCCATAGAACAGTGATATCCCTCAATCAGGAGCTTCCGTCGACTGGGACCCTCTCTTGCGGGTAGATGTACGCCAGTCAGAGGTCATCTTGCTAGGAGACACATCCGAGCGGGAGTCAGAATCATGGGCAGGGGGAATCTTCCACTTCTCCAGGAGTGTCAGGCCATGTTCCAAGGAAAACAGCGTGTAGGACTCTCCCTCTTGACACTATGAGTTTGGCCGGGTAGCCCCAGCGGTACACGATTTAGTGGCTGCGCAGCGCTCTGGTAACTGGCCCGAGCCGCCTCCGAAACAGCATAGTATGTTGGGATAGATCTGAGTAGAAATGGAAGCGGGAGCATCTGTCAGGGAGTTTGGACGGATCCCTCACCAGCCTAAGGAAGCGGTCTTTTACATGGAAAAAGTGCACCCGCATCAGCACATCTCTTGGTAGCTTTTCTGATATATCCGGCGGCTTAGGCAGGCAATGTATGCGGTCAATGATCATTTCCATTTTAGGAGTGCCCGGCATAATTTCATGTATAAGGCTCTGTTCACACCTAGGTGTATCGATGATTGCGCGTTTGTCACGCATTTCTTGACGCGCGTTTTTACCTCAATTCGCGGTAAAAAACGCGCGACAAACGCGCGTTACCGAGGGCTACTTGGGTGTGTCCCAATGGAACCGCGCAACAAAAACGCCGCAAAGAAGCTCATGTACCTTTTCAGGCGTAGCCTTTTTTGTAGCGCGTTCAGACGGGCTGAAATACGGCAAGGTGGGACCCATACCCATAGAAAACAATGGGATTTTCATGTTTGAGCGTTTTGTAGAGCGTTCGTAGAGCGTTGAACGCGCTACAAAACGTACAGGTGTGAACCAGGCCTAAGATCTTGCACATATGACATCAGATCTGCCTGGGCGACCGATTCAGGAATGCCACGTATTTTCACATTGTTGCGGCGAGACCTATCTTCCAGGTCAGCCAATTTGGCCTTCATCCACTCATAGTCATCCTCCCTGTTGTTGTGGGAATCGACCAAGTCGTTGAATGTATTGGCAAACTCCCCCATCTTATCCTCAATATGTGACACTCTATCACCCACTTGTTGTAAATCAGATTTGAATTGGGTGATTAAGGATTGCATATCTGAGTTCAGCGAACTCCTTAAGGATATCAGCATGTCCCTAAGTGTGGAATCTGAGAATGGCTGGTGTGATATGGGGTAGGCCTCAATAGGTGCTACTAGTACCCTTGTGTCATCCAGGGACGAATTAAGCAGGCTCACCTCCCTCTGATCATCTCCAGGGGATGTCATCCGCTGTCTTGTCAGATCTGGACTCTGGTCAGCAGGGGTACCAGGCTGGGATGACCCAGAAGAGGAGGCTGCTTCCCCGTCGGGGCCCCGCCGGATATGCATTCCGTGGCTGGTGCTCGTCGTTGGTCTCGTGCAGAGGAGCCGGCGCCATCTTGGCCGCGCCGCCATCCCGAAGGACCGAAGAAGTCCGTCAGATTCTGCGGCCGCTTGCCCCTCTGTTTTTGTGACCGCTTCATCCTCGGGGACCAGAGGAATCAGAGGAGGGTTCCGATGTAGAGCAGGTAGGACCTTTTCGTTGCTTTTAGCCACCTCGAGGCCCGTCGCTGCATGGAGCTCTAGGCAGAAGCGTCCACGCAGTGCGCCAGCAAGCCACGCCCCCCGACATACATTTTTTGAAGCATTTCTAAAGGATCTGAAATGCAGTGCGTGACTTTTAAATTGCGCTGATCACTGTCAGCTAACATTTATTATTGTTTTTGCTGTGCATTAAAGTTGCGCTTATATCTGCAGCCTGTCAGGTTCAATACTATATTGTTCATTGGCTGGCCAGTAAGCAAGCAGCTTGTTTAGGCCGCAACCTAAGAGAAATCGACGAGGCAGATTTTATCTTTAAATAAACATTTGAGTGTATTATCGGAGAGACAATAGCCACAGATATTGTTCAGTGGCTGGGCAGTATGAAAGCAGCTTGCCCTGCCCTCCCTTTTTTGAAAACCCCATACAACCCCACTCATAGAATGTTTATACTTACCAGCTCCTGTTGCGGACCGCCAGTGGACCTCAGACAGTCCAAATCCCAAACTGATACAACAGGGGGATAGAAGGCGCATTGGACATCGGGGGGTCTACACATATCGAGACTGTCTCCCCTCCTCCCAGTGATGACTCTCCAGATGCCTAGGCGCATACTGTAGACCTAGACAAGACCCTTCCCCCACTGGGCAACAATCTTACTAGCCCACGGGCGAATGTGCTA